TAAAGGTAGAACTAAACCAAAAGAAATGAGTCCAATCCATCAGCTTTGAGTTCCAGGGCTATTGACACTTCACTCTACCTTTACAGAATGGGCAGTATACTTACTCTCTGGCTGGAAGATAAGTTCGTACACCCAGACTATCAGCAGAGTACACAAGACACTCCATGCAATCAGCTGCCAGGGCTCATATTTGGTGCAATACCCATTCACGTAATTCTTGGCTTTTGTGGAGTATGCTTCCAAAATCTCCAAGTAAGGCTCAAAGGCCTTCTAGAAATGTTAAGAGAAAAACAGAAACATTACATTCAGAGAAATAAAGTCTGTTCTTAAACTCTCTTTTCAAGGGCAAGGCCATTCATGATGTTGGTCCCACCTCAGCAATAATCTTATCATCCCCTACACTGCCATATATGAGCTATGTGGACTTTGATATTATTTTTGGTCTGCTTATTTTGGAAAATAAAGACTAAGCTTTATCATCACTGTCAGTATTAACTAACATCTTTATCTGACTATTCTCTGCCAACCCTTTTCTTAAACTAATTCTCTCAATGTGAATGCCACTTCTCTCCTCTACTACATTTGAATCTTTCTCCTTCTCTAACCCAGCAGTAGACAGACTGATCCTCACCAGCCTGCGAATATTTTAGGTATTACAAACCAAGCATTCTGTTACAGCTACTGATCTCTATTGCTGTGGCACAATGCACAGTGTACAAATGAATGTGGCTATGCTCCTACACAGCTTAACTATGTGCACACTAAAATCTGAATTTTATAGAATTTCCACGTGACAAAATATTGTTTTTTAGTCAACCACCTGAAAACATAAAAATCAAGTTGGGCAAGGTAGATAAAGCATGTAATCCTAGTACTCAAAGGCTGAGGCAGGAAGAGTACAGTAAATATGAGGCTAGCCCAGGTTCTACAACAAGACTATGACTATGTTTCAAACAAACAAACATACAAACAAAAAAACCACCACAAAAGTAAAAATCATTTTTAGTTCATAGGGCCAGATTTGGCTACTAGGCAATAGTATGACAATTCCTCCTCTAAAAACTTACTTGATTATGAAACTCTTGAAGTCAGGGACCAAATTTTATTGTTATTGTAGCCCTCATAATACCTGACACAAACAAGAAAAAAAAACAAACACCTCTCATTTGTAAACTTAGGAGACTCAATCAAAATCCGAACTCCCCATTCTCCACCTCTGATATTGAACCTAGAGTGGCCTCCCTCACACTAGGAAGGTAGACATTCTACCACTAGGTAACCATTCTACAACTGAGCTACGTCCCAAGTTCTTCTTTTACTGTTGAGGCAGGGTTTGGTTAGGTTACCATGCTGGCTTTGAACTCACTTTATAGGCAAGGCAGGCCTCAAACTTGTAATCCTCTTGCCTCAGCCTCCCAAGTGGCTCGGGCCACAGGCCTGAGTCACACTAGGTCTGGCCAGAATATCTCATTCTTGAGAATTTAAGTTCTCCTAAAGTACTCATTTGTGATGCACTTATCACAATATGACTTACAGTCTGCTCATCTATTTCTTATCTCCCTGACCACATGGTTAGGTCCTTGAAGGCAGACCTGTTCTTATTCCGATTTACTAACCCACAGTGCCCTGCAAAACTTAGTTCATCTGATAGCTTGTTATTCATTCACTCATTCAACATTTTAAAGGCACTAAGCTGAGGAGGCATTCAGATAAATATCATAGTTCCTTGTCCCCACTGAACTTATAACCTATAGGGAGAGGTATATGTGTTTGTATATGCCAGCATGCATCCATACACTTTGTGTACTAGCCAGAACTCTAAAGGGAAACAGCCATAGAAGGAGGCCAATGTGTGCTAAGAGAATACCAAGGAAAACCTACAGAATTCTACTGAAGGGGAAAATGATAATGAGATTAAATTTTAAGCTATTTTAAATGATTTTTAAAAATTCTACAGGAAGAAATGTTAAAAGAAACTAAAGTCATACCAGGAAGAGAGAATAGCAGCTGAAAATGCATAAAAAGAACCCAGGAATGGCAGAAGTTCTTAGAGTAAAGCTACATGGAACATAGACCATTTCTATCTTATCCTGTGCTAAGTCTCCACCACACAGCAGGTACCTAGTACACAACCTGCACTGTATATAACTGGACAGTGGCTGACTAGTATCTGAGGAAATGAGGGAAAGGAATGCATGAAACAGAGAAGTGAGGCTGTGAGGACACTAGGTCCATATTAAAACTGGGGTTGGAAGCTAGGTGTGGATGCACATACCTGTAATCCCAGGAACTGGGAGGATGAGGCAGGAGAGGGGGATCTTGAGTTTGAGTTTTATGCCAGCCTAGGCTATATAGTGAAATCATGCTCAAAAGGAGTATGAAGAGTGAAAGTATAAATCAGAAAGAACTTTTCATAAACCAATTCAATGGCATCTACTAACATTTTAAATGTATATTCATTTTGCCATGTTTTGGCTTCTATAATCTTGCATATGTTCACAGAGAGAAATGTTCAAGTGCATTCACTTCAATGTTCTTTGTAACAGCAAAAGAAAATGTTCATAGATAGAGAAAGGTTAAACTATAAAATACATATTTCATGTACCCACAATGAAACATTAAAAATATAGTTTGGTTTTGTTGTTGTTTTAAACAGGGTCTCCCTGTAGCCCCAGCTGGCCTGGAATTCACTAAGCTGCCTGCCTCTGCCTCCCAAGTGATGGTTTGAAAGGCATGCACTACAGCCTGGCAAAATACAGATCTTTTTACAAAGAAAATTTATAGATTATAAAATGAATGAGTAAAGTGAAGCAAATTATAGACAATTATAAAACTAAACATATTGTTATGCATAAGAGTAAACAATAAAGATTATTGTTGGAGATGAGTAACAGAAGACAGAGATCAGCAACAAATATTTTAGTTGAGAGATTGCTGGAAAACGCCAGAGAGAAATGAACTGGGTTTGTCCTTAAGTAGTACAACACTGGGAACTAGATAAAAAGTCCAGATTTTTTTTTTAAAGGCAGGATCTCAACACTGTAGCCTACGCTGTCTTAGAATTCACTATGTAGCCTAGGCTGGCCTTGAACTAGCAGCAATCCTCCTGCCTCAGCCTCTGATTGCTGAGATTACGGATGTAAGCCACCACATACTGCTAATAACAGATTTTTAAAAAAAAATTTTTTTTGGTCTTTTTAAGACAAGGTCTTCCTGTAGCCCCAGCTGGCCTAGAACTCACTATGTAGATCAGGCTGGCCTTGAACTCACAGGGATTCTCCTGCCTCTGCCTCCCAAGTGCTGGGATTAAAGGTATGTATCACCATACCCAGCCTAAAACATTTTATTATTTTTATTTTATGTGTATGAGTGTTTTGCCTGCATGCACATAAGTGCACCACATGCATACAATGCCCAAGGAGGCCAGGAGAGGGTGTTAGATTCCCCTAGAACTGAAGTTATAATCAGTTGTTAAACTATCATGTGGATGCTAGGGATTGAACCCAGGTCCTCTTGAAGAACACTATGTTTTCAACTGCTGAGTCATCTCTCTTGCCCCTAATAATATAGACTCAAAAGATTTACAGAAGCAGAGCAAACTGGATTTAGAAATTGTCCCAGTTAGCTTTAACTGTCAACTAGACACAGTCTAGTCACCTGAGAAGGGAGTCACCTGAGAAGGGAGTCTCAACTGAGGGATTTCCCAAATCAGATTGGCCTGTGGGCATGTCTGTAGGGGGACTGTCAAACTGTTAATTGATGTAGAGGGTCTAGGTAACTGTGGGTAGTGCTGTTCCACAGGCAGGTGGTCCTGGGCTATAAAAAGGGTAGCTAAGTGAGCCAGGTGTGGTGGCCAACACCTTTGATCCCAGCACTTGGGAGGCAGAGGCATGCCGATCTCTGTGAGTTCAAGGGCAGCCTGGTCTATATAGCAAATTCCAGGCCAGCTGGGGCTACAGGGAAACCCTGTCTCAAAAAGACCAAAATAATAATAATAATAATAAAAATATTTTTTAAAATCTGTATTATTAGCAGGATGTGTTTGTTAACTGACCTGGAAGTGCAAGCCCCCCCGCCCCAGAAAAAAAAAATCCTTTCCTCTCCTAAGTTGCTTTTGGTCAGTATTTTATCACAGCAACAGAAAAGAAACTACAACAGTAAGTTTTTGGCTATGAGAAATATGGAGTCAGAAAAATACAGATAATTCCAAATTTTCAAGTTCAAGTTTGAGAGATTAGTTAAGTGATGTCATCATTAACTATGCGATGACTAGAAGATAAAGCTGAAGAGATATGGGACATTTTGAGAAAAGAGGAAGAGACACAAGATACTTTAAGAAAAAGACAATAGTGGTTTCAGTTATGTTCCTATTGGGTATCTACTGCTGCAGTAAGAACATGAAGCTCTTAATCAGGACAGGTACTTAACAAACCTTTCTTGAACCTGCTACAAACTGAATGCTTATGCTCCCCTCCCCCTCCCAAAATTCTGTTGACACCAACCCCTCAAACTAGTGTTACTAGAGGGTGAAAGCCTTAGGAGGTCATCAGATCATGAAAAAGACCCCATGGGGGGCTGGAGAGATGGCTCAGTGGTTAAGAACACTGGTTGTTCTTGCAGAACACCCGGGTTTGAAACCTAGCACCCACATGGTAACTAACAACTGTCTGTAATTCCAATTCCAGGGGATCCAACGGCCTCTTCTGTCCTCCTCGGGCAATGCACGACACGGGTGCACTTACTTACATGCAGGCAATACACTCATACACATAAAATAAAAATAATAAATAAAAAAAAGAAAAAAGAAAAAGACCCCATGGATACAATTAGGGCCTTTACAAAAGAGAAAGACCCCAGAGAGTAAATTCGCTCTTATCTCTGAACCCTTGTATGAGCTCTCTCCTGAACGCTACCTTCTAGAAAGTGAACCCTCAATTTATGTTGCCTTGATCTTAGACTTCCCAGCCTCCATAACTGTCTAAATAAGTTTTTGTTGCTTTTAAGACACTTTAAGGCATTATGTTACAGTAGCCCAAATGGACTAAAACAATACCCTTAGTAATTAGACTATGGTAAAAGGCAATTAACATTAGGCAAGTTTTAGGGAGTTCCCGGAGGGCTATCCATGGAAACAGCTTATCTAGAACAGGTGGCCATTCCCCAGGGCCCACTGTTGCTATCAACAACTTCAATTCTACAAAGCAATGGTAGTACCAGTAAAAATCTAGGAAAGACCAGGAAAGTCTGTCATCATCAAAGATATGTCATAA